TCAGAAACCATGGAACAGTCAATTGCACTATTGACAAAGAATTTCAATCGAGTCCTCAAGAAGTTCAACAAGTTCAGAAATAAAAATTCCTCGAATAGCCAAGGAAATTCCATAGTCAATCAAAAACCATCCAGTACAAAACGAAGAGACAATTCAGAAGGAATACAATGCTATGAGTGTAAAGGTTTTGGACACATCCAACCGGAATGTGCCACATACTTGAAAAGGAAAAACAAAACATACATAACAACACTGAGTGATGATTCAGACAGTGAAGAAGACATCAACACGAATTTCGTAGCATTCACTGCCAATCATGAAAGTAACAATGGTGAAGACATGCAAGAGTTACTAGAGGCATATACTCAACTAAATGCCAAGTGGGAGCAGATCATCAAGGTAAATCTAGAACTCATGGAAGAAAATCAATTTTTAAAGGATGAAAACGATCGGGGAGAAAAACGTTACAAAGAAGCTCAAGACGAACTATTAAACTTCAAAAACAGAGAAGCTAAACTACTACAAGAAATCAAGGAGCTTACCGAAAGACCCAGGTCTCCTCTCTCAGACTCCAATGAAAATCACCAAACCAAAATACATGAGGTGTCGCAACCCCGCTTTTAACATCGAAGAAGAATAAGATGCTACTATTGTCATAAACTGGGACACATCAAAGCACACTGCTACAAAAGACAAAATGATCTCTATTACAGGCAAAACAATAGAGATTGGTTAACACACAACAGAAATAACAGCAAGAAAATCTGGGTAAGAAAAGACCAAAATGTTGCATATACCTCCAAAACAAACAAAGAGAAAGATATATGGTATTTTGATAGAGGATGCTCTAGGCATATGACTGGAAAACTAGAGAATTTAGAGAACATACAGTATAAAGATGAAGGGTATGTTATCTTTGGAGACGGAGGAAAAGGGAAAATCATTGCAAACGGAATTTTAAACGTTCATGGGCTACCAAGACTACCAAAAGTCTTCCTAGTACAAGGACTAAAAGCTAACTTAATTAGTATAAGCCAACCATGTGAAGATGAACTCAAAGTGGAATTTACAAAGGATAGCTGCAATGTTCTCAACCAAAATCACGAATGTGTAATGATCGGGAAAAAATCCACAAATAAATGTTACACGTGGAATGGTGATCTAACATGTTTACAAACAACCATCAATCAAACACAATTATGGCATCAACGTATGGGGCACATAAACTTCCATGACATGAAAAAGGGATTAAAAAGAAGAGCCTACCGAGGAGTTCCATCACTCAACATAGATGAAAACAAAAAATGTGATGCATGCCTCGAAAACAAAATTACACGAACGGCCCACAAGAAGTCCTTGGGAATACATACTTCTAGAATTCTAGAACTACTTCACATGGCCCTCTTTGGACCTACTCAAACGGAAAGCATAGGAGGAAAGAGATATGTCTATGTGACAGTTGATGATTACTCACGATTCACATGGGTAAACTTCCTTAAAGAAAAATCTAAGGCATTCACAACCTTCAAAACACACATCATCAAAATTCAAAATGAAAAAGATGGAAGAATAGGGAAAATCATTCGTTTAAGAAGTGATCATGGTAGAGAATTCGAGAACACAAAGTTCAAAGACTACTGCATGGAAAATGGAATTCATCATGAGTTTTCCGCCCCAAAAACACCTCAACAGAATGGGCTAGTCGAACGAAAGAATCGTACCATCCAAGAAATGGCAAAGGTTTTTTTAAATCACAAAAGATTACCATCAAAGTTTTGGGCTGAAGCAGTAAACACCGCATGTTACCTAATAAACCGAGTATTCATACGAAAGGGAACCAATATGACACCCTACCAAATCTGGAAGGGAAAAACACCAAACCTAAAACATACACATGTCTTTGGGAGCAAATGTTATATATTAAAAGATAGAGAGCCTTTGGGAAAGTTTGCTATCAAAGGAGATGAGGGAATATTCCTAGGATACTCCTCAAACAGCAGGGCCTATCGAGTATTCAACCTCAGAACAGACAGTGTCATGGAATCCATCAATGTTGTTATCAATGACACAGCGTCAGAAAATCCCACCACCGATGATGAAGAATCAACACCACTGGAACAGAAAAGTGAAATAGAAACAACACAGAATGAAGAAACAAAGAATACTGAGAAAATTGAGGAAAGTCACACTACAAATGACACAAGGATTCAGAAAAATCACCCAGTAGAAAACATTATAGGTGGACTCAATGAAGGGATCAAAACCAGAGGAAAGAAACGAGATTATCAAAAAATGGAAGAAGGAGACTATTGCTACACCTCCAAAATAGAGCCCAAAAACATCACTAAAGCATTAAAAGATGAATTTTGGGTGGAGGCTATGCAAGAAGAATTACAACAATTTGAAAGAAACAACGTCTGGGAATTAGTTCCCAAACCAGAAGACGCCAACATCATCGGGACAAAATGGATCTACAAGAATAAAACTGATGAACAAGGAAACATAACAAGAAACAAAGCCCGACTAGTAGCACAAGGATACACACAAATTGAAGGGACAGACTTCGAGGAAACCTTTGCCCCTGTAGCCCGAATTGAATCAATTCGTCTCCTTATAGGAGTGGCTTGCATACTCAAGATAAAACTCTATCAAATGGACGTGAAAACAGAATTCTTAAATGGAAATCTAAAAGAAGAAGTTTATGTTACAAAACCAAAAGGGTTTGAGGACCCTCATTTTCCACAAAGTGTATTTAAACTCAACAAAGCACTATATGGGCTAAAACAAGCACCACGAGCTTGGTACGAACGTCTCACTGAATTTCTAGTCAAAAAGGGTTACAAAAGAGGCAGTGTAGACAAAACCCTATTTGTCAAACACTATGGCCAAGACATTGTTATTGCCCAAATCTATGTTGATGACATAGTTTTTGGCTCAACACTTGAACACCACAAAAACCAATTCATCACTAACATGGAAGGAGAATTTGAGATGAGCATGGTTGGTGAACTAACCTACTTCCTAGGTCTACAAATCAAACAACAAGACAGTGGGATCTTCATATCACAAAGCAAATATGCAAAGAATCTAGTTAAGAGATTCGGACTAGAAGAAAGCAAAGTTGTCAGAACACCAGTTCCAACAACAGAAAGAATCTCAAAAGACATAGAAGGAAAACAAGTTGAGCAAACCCTATATCGAAGCATTATAGGAGGTCTACTATATCTAACTGCTAGTAGACCAGATCTAAGCTTTGGAGTAGGGATATGCACAAGATATCAAGCGAATCCTACTGAACATCATCTAAAAGCGGTAAAAATAATCATTAAATATGTTAAAGGAACCACCGAATTAGGAATATGGTACTCTTTCGATACCAATCATCACCTATCAGCCTATTGCGATGCTGATTGAGCAGGAAACATCGATGACAGAAAAAGCACCTCAGGAGGATGTTTTTTCCTAGGAACAAATTTGGTATCTTGGATAAGCAAAAAACAAAATTCTATATCATTATCAACAGCAGAGGCGGAATACATTGCAGCCGAAAGCTGTTGGACACAACTACTTTGGATGAAACAGATGTTAGAAGATTATGGAATACATCAAACAACTATGACCATACATTGTGATAACAAAAGTGCAATAGACATCTCCAAAAATCCAGTGCAACACTCTAGAACAAAACACATCGACATCAGGCATCATTTTATAAGGGAACTAGTAGAAAATGAAATCATCAATCTCACACATATCAATACAGAAAATCAACTTGCAGATATACTAACAAAGGCACTTGATGGAAATAGATATGCAAAATTAAGAGCAGAAATAGGACTGTGTACTTTATGAACAAAATATTTGGGCCGGTTTCATTATTTAAAAAAAAAAAAAAAAAAAAAAAAAAAAAAAAAAAAAAAAAAAAGGAGCCATAACTCAGCATGATCCATATACCGCGAAATGTCAAGGAGCCCATAACCCAACTAACAATAAAAGCCCATAACCCGGTCCACTTCAGATAAATCCCTAAATTAAATAATGGTGGGTATCCGATTAAGTCTTCTCACCCACGATCATCTCCCACACTTCACAACAGAGAAACAATGGTGAAGACGAGAAATCAAAGAAAAGGAAAATTACCTCGGAGAGGAACCACACCACAGTACGCCGACTCCGGAGTCCCATCGAATCCGGTATGCATCGAAGAAGAAGATCTCACCACCATCATCATGGACCCAATCCCCATCTCGCAAGTTCCATTTGAAGAGGTTCAAGAACATCAAAACCCTAACCCAGGTAATCCTACAGATGATTTACATGGAGATTTTACAATTTGCCTACCCACTATAAATGAAACTGGGGACAACACTGATTGTACCCAAGTAGAGGAAGAACACCCCATAGCCGGAGTTGTTGAACCATCATCTCCACCTCCTCTGTTCGACAGAGAACAGAGAAAAAGAAGAAGGTATGACCCCTATGAAAGGGCAGATCCGAGAGCAAAAAGACCCAACGATTTCCCTATCTCTGCTAGACCCCCTCGAAGAACTCCTAATATACCTCCCCCAAAGCAGAATAATCCCAAGAAACAAGAAGAAAAAATTACAGAAGAAGAACAAGATTAGGTTCCCGAAGACTTAAGAGAAGCCTCTGATTGTGATAAAACTCATCCAGAAAAGAAGAAAAAGAAATTGGGTATTAAGGAAAAAGGAAAACAGAAAGTAGTTAGTGATGCTGACCTGTCAAAACTACCCAAGCCCTATAGTCCAAAATTTCTGTTTAAAGAAAATTCCAAAACATTGAAAAATTTCTTGGAGAAAAAGGTCATCAGTCAAAAGCTCCTAATACTAGATAGGCTGGAAAATTGTGAACAAATCACTGAGGTTCTAACAAAGAACCAACTCTCAAGATCAGTTATCAATATTGATCCTTATGAAGAATAGGCTGTCAAAGAATTTTACTGTAACCTCACCAAAGACTCATCATCTCTTAGCAACCCTATGTATGGAAAGGCATATCTAATAGGGAAATTCTATGAATTCAATCCAGAAATCATCAATAATCACCTAGGAACAACCAGTGAAGAACAAGGTGTTCAACTAGAAAGTGAACAGGTTATTCAAGAGCTTACAGCTGGAAATGTGAGTTTTGATAAAAACAAAATCAAGGCTGCCTCATTAACAAGCAAGTATGCTATACTACAGAAAATTGCCCTTTTGAATTGGATGCCCTCTCTGCATGAAACAACAGTTAAGTGGAGTCTGGCAGAATTATTGTACAAAATAGGGAAGGGAATCAAAGTTAACATTGGAGACATTATGTATTCACAGATTACAAACTTGGCAGAAGCAGAAAGTAGTGAGTCAAAGGCTTCCCTCATTTTCCCAAATCTGATATACTCTATTCTATCCAAACAAGGGCTGAAATCACATGGACCGAAGACACAAGTCCAGACCATAAACACAACCATGAAGCTGAGAAAAGGGGGACACCAAAATGATCTCAAAACCTCTATCCCAACTGAAGATCCAACAAATCAGAAAGTCCTACTAAAATACTTCGAGAAAAGACTGAATGAATTGGAAAATTCAGAGAAACAGATTCTAAGGAAACATATGGAAATCAAGGAGGAAAAAGCAGAAGTCCTACAATGGCTACAAGCTCTCAAACCAAACAATAGAGAAGAGGAAGATAAAACAGAAGAAACTCAGAAGAATGACCAAGAAAGAAGTGATGAATAGGATGATAGCTCAGAAGAAGAAAGTCAGAAGAATAACCAAGAAGAAGATGTTGAAACAAATGTTTCAACATCCCCTGTATAATTTTAGCAAAAAAGGGGGAGAAGAAGAAACAGGCAAACAGCAGGAGAAAGGAGACAGGCAGACAGCAGGAGAACGCAGACAGCAGGAGAAAGCAGCTAAGAGGGAAGCAACTATATTTTTTTTTTTTGAAAAACTATCATGAAGTATCTAGCCTCTTTTTGCATGATTATGTCCCAAGAAATTAAACTGTTTGTAAACTGCTAATGTTCACTTTATGACTGTCCTAGTAACAAGCAGAAATAAAAATGCATTCTCTCTTGATATTTTTCTATCAACAAGAAGAACAGAGAACAAACAAAGGGGGAGTCATTTCAAGGAAAGCTAACTGGGGCATTCTCTCTTAATATTGCTTGACATCAACAAAAACAGAGAACAAATTAAGGGGGAGATATCTCAAAAATTAAGTTTCTCTGAAGATCAAGGTTTTTGCAAAAATTTGACAAAGGGGGAGAATGTTGACTTTTAATGAATTGTCAAATATCATGTGCAAAAACCATTCTCTAATCTCAGAAGATTTCAAGATACTTATTCCTGTTAGAATTAGGATTAATAAACCTATTCACAATCAAAGAAAGGATCTAATCCTATAAAAGGAGTCTCTCTCAATCACATGGATTCATGCTTTCAATATCTAATTGTGAGTCACGAGAGTCATTGAGAAGAGATACCCAAATTCCCTTGAAAAGTAGTATAAGTGTTTAGGTCACAATAGTCTGATAGGAAAAGATCATCATATTGTGTAATCCCCGTTCCCTAAACAGTGTACTTTGAATATTAAGCTTTTAGTGGATTTAGGCAAATTCTCAACTTGAGAAGTGCCTCTCAGATTAGGGTTGTTTGCCCAAACTGCGTTATAAATTGAGTGTGTCGCAACGTCAGTTTTAACATTACTGTGTGCATGGCTTATATAAATTTCAGTATGTATCTCGACAATTTCACTCATTAGTAGATAAGCATCCCCCTTCCTTTTATACCGTGCTTTATGATGAATTGGTATTCTCCATTTTTTTTTTTTTGTGAATTTACTTTGATTTGATTATTAACTAGTTGTTTTAGATTTTATATTTGTTTCGATATTGTTTATGGTGTTTGATTGAATTAGATTTTATAGCGGGGTATTTTGATTGGGTCTTCCACAACTTTGCTGTGTAAAAATGATGATTGTGAATGTTATTGCATGTGTGTGTGTGTGTGTATATATATATATATATATATATATATATATATATATATATATATAATTGATTATGAATTAAAAATGACATCTTAAGTAACTATTTTGAGGTATAATTTTGAGTGAATGTCACTCTCGATTTGGATTGAGTTAAAGTGATTTCAAATTTTCTAAGTGAGAAGTTTAATTTGATATATTATATATTCAAAATAATAAATAATAGGTGAATCAGAGAAATTGATTCTCAAAATATACTTAATGAGTTAGGGAAAATGGTGTACTCAAAATAATAAATAATAGGTGAATCAGAGGGAAAATGGTGTTTGAATTGAGGACTAAGTAACATTTGTACTCTATTACAATGTAGAGTCTATTCATATACTTTCTCAACCTACTGAAACACAAAGAACTAATAACGCCTCCATTAAGGCTTGAACTCACAACCTTCCAAATAAAAATCTAACCCGAGTACTATTAGACCACATAGTCTTGGTAGAGATGTGAGTTTATATTAGTATAAATACTATTTAGATCCCCCTGTGGCGCAACACCAGTTTACCTATGTAAAAGCATACTTGGGTCTCCTACTTCCAGTTAGATATAAAAAAAATACAATTTAGATTTTTATGAAGTTTAAATTGTGTAATATAGAAATTTTCTATTAGACATGAGAGTGCGTGTGCAAATCAAATCTCAAAATGAATTTATTAAGTTTGAACTCGTGTGAACTACATCCTAAATATTACTTTCGTAAACTGAAGTTTGTTATTATTTCTCTTTCTTTACCCACTTTTTTTTTCGAATTTACAGAATCATTTCTCCTTTATTTGAATTATATTTCATATTTATTCTTGTATTTGCTTACTTGTTTTTTGAATACTACTAAGGGCATGTTTTGTTCATGAGTTTAGCTATCAGGAATGGAAATCAAAGTCATTGTTATTGTTTGATTGACAAGTTTCTAAAGCATTACTATAGGATTTGATTACCCCTTAATTAGAAAACTCATTCCCTAATAAAATAAGGGTTTCATTTCATTATTCCCCTCCTAATTAGTAATTTTATTTTTAAGTTTGGATTAATGCTTTTAGATTTTTGTTTTTGTTTTGTTTTTATATTGGTGTTTTGGATGTCTTTATATTAGAATAAATTGTCTTATTTTTTTTTTCTTTGTATTTTTAAAACATTTATTCCCATTATAGGATCATATAGAACCAAACAACAATATTGGTAATCATTCCCATACTACCATACTACCAAACATGCAAAATACTTTCATCAAAACTCATTACCATTATTACCAAGTATTTGATTCCCATTCCAATTCTGATTCCCATCCATGTACAAACCAAACACATCATAACTCTGTTACAATGCAGTATCTGTTCATAACTACTTTCTCAATCTATACAATTAAAGCACAAAGAGTCAATATCTCCATTTGTTTAAGTTGAACTAATTTCTACATAATTTGCATAACTAGTGTATGACTTTTAAATTGTAATCTACCCTACACCTACACACTACTCTTAAAAAAGACAACCTTGGGTCGAAATCTCCTTTCAAACAACTCACCTCCCACACTCATTTAGTCACATCAAGTACTTCTACTTAATATGATGGTTTAAGAGTGAATGTGATACGCCATTCATTGTAATTATGGAGCTTAATTAGGAATGAATTAATTATATTTCTAGAATTAGTATGATAATTAGGATGGTATAACTTAATTAGTGGAAGAGTTAATATTGTGCCTAAATTAGTATAGGGAAATTATGTAAATCACAATATATCATTACCTTGTATAGTTAGTATAATTTTAGTAGGTTAATTATTATAGGTATTAGTAAATTAGTATAAATAGACCATTGTATATGAAGATGGAGGAAGGAGAGAAATATTATGTTATTCCAGTCTTTTATATTGAAGAGTTCTTCATTCTCTTTTATTATATTGTTTTACTTTTGGAGTTACCGTAACTCGAATACGGATTGGAGCTAGAAGCCTGCTCGAAAGATTTCTTCCGTTGCGTACTAAATTTCAGTACGTACGCCATTCATTGTAATTATGGAGCTTAATTAGGAATGAATGGCGTATCAGAATGCAACAATTTAAATAAATTATTCACTTTGAAGAAGAAGAAAAAAGAAACTAGCGAGATTGAATTAAAATTTATTACTCTTAAAATAAACTTGACCTATAATCTCACTGGACTTTTATACTTCCTCTTCTCATTAGTTAAACAGCCCGCTCCAGTGGCGGACTCAGGAATTTTTTTCAGCGGGGGCAAAATATTAAAGGAAAATTGATAATTAGAAAAAAAAATGAAACACTTAAAAAGTATAACCATAAATAATGTTGGATATAGGAAAATTATAAAACACATCAAAACATTATAAAAATATTCATAACAAAATATGAATATAATCAATTTGATAAAATAATTTGAATAAAAGATCCATTATAAATTACACATCTTATCTCATTATTAATATCAATGAAGATTATATTATTGTGTTGAAGCAATATGCACTATTAATAATATTGAAAATGTGAAATAATGTGAAAAGATAGTGTTAATGGTGAAAATGTGAAATAAAATGTCAAAAACATTGAAAACAAACCACACACCCAACCATAGATTCGAACCCTAACCTACCTTTAAGCCAACCATGCGCTCTGCCAACTAAGCTAAGTCACATTTTATTATCATTTCTCTATTTTTTAATACTTATAATAAAACTTCTACTATATATACACATATACATACAAGGGTTATATAAGAGGTGGGGGTGGGGTGAGTGGGGGCAGCTGACCCCACTGCCCCACTGTGGGTCCGCCTCTGGCCCGCTCACTTGTGGTTATACTCTAATCTAATCCACGCCTGGATTATTTATACAAGCCAGGAAGCCAACAGCTCTTGTTTTATATATATATATATATATATATATATATATATATATATATATATATATATATATAGGAGTGATCACATGTGGCCATGTTGTTAGGTGTGGTCATATGGTCAATTATAGGTCATTAGATTAGATAGATCCAATGAATCATATTAATCAAGATTTTTTTAGTATTTTCGCGCACATTCTCCTACCCAGCGAACTGCAAGGGTAAACTCGTCATAAAACACCGAAATATTAATCAAGATTTTGTTGTGTGTTTTATTACACTATTGGTGCATGTTGTCCAACACTGTCGGTGTATTCTGGAACCCGGCCGCTATAAATGGCCATTGTAATTACCATAACACGAAAATACACCATTGGTGTGTTTCACTGTGGTGTGTTTTATTACACTATTGGTGTATGTTGTCAACACTGTTGGTGTATTCTGGAACCCGCCCGCTATAAATGGTCACTGTAATTACCATAACACCCCCACTTACCAAAACGCGCAAAAATCCTCAGAATTCCCACTGCCGTTAGATTAAACTGATTCAACGACACAGTTACGATCACATGACCACACCTAATGACATGACCACATATGAGCGCTTTTCTATATATATATATATATAGGCTTATGAGGAAAACTCACAGACTCATTATTCAAGAGTGAGTACTAAATTTACTTTATTCATATGTAATAGCATGCAAATTATCACACAGGAGATCAGATGTAAACTGCATGCACTAGGAAGACCTTGTATAATGGGCGCAATTGAAATAGTATTGATAATAATCAAACTCAAGAACTTTTGTTACGAAATTGTGCTCCACCCATTCTGATC